GGAGATCCTTTTACTGACCGTTTTCTTAAGTTAAAGACAGTCTCAATTATTTATCTCCACAAATGCCACGGTCACAAGCCAGGAAGGTTGTTTTAGTAGCTGACTTTCTCTAAAGGTTCGGAGGGTTGGTGGAGGGACTACTGATGCTTGGAGATTAGACAACCCTGCTTTGTAATTTCTCACAAGATGCCTTTTTCTGTAGGCTCTACCATCCCTTCATGTTGCTCAGTCCCATCTTTCTCCTCTATCCATCTTTCTTTGCTTTCTCTGAGGACTGTTCATACTCCCAAATTTCTCTTTGGTTCCTACACAGAACAGTTTCAGTGTTTCACTGTCTCACTCCAGACCCCATCCTTAGGTCTCATCACCTCTACTTGAATCAAATCCTCAAGGTGTTTCCCTATACAATGACTATTCTTTTCCGTAGAAGAACACATGTACTAAGTGTTAAAATAATTCTTTTGCAAACACACTTGACCATCACATAACCTGGGGAGACATTTTCTCCATGAGTCTAAGACCAGGTTAGAGGTCTTCCTCAAAGCCCTAGCCATGGTCCATTGCAGAGCCATGCTTTGAGCCAGACCTCACACTCCTAGGGCACCACTCATGACCTCCATGATCCTTCTCGTTCCAGGTCTCTGAAGTGACTACTTCTACTGTGCTATTCATCTTTAGCCTCTTGGAGTTCTGCATTGCCTGCACGTCTGCCCACTTTGGCTGCAAACTATTCCACTATTCACACAACAATGTGAGTGTGTAGGACCCGCAGTGGATGGAAAGATGCCCTAAATAATGTGGGCACTAGAAAGGTTGTTAGGCTTTTGTTTCCTCTCCAGGCACATGGGGAGTCCCGGAATATCTAAAGCCTTGTGCAATTGTGGTTCTCACTAACGCACCTCCATGTACCTGTCTTTTTCAGGGCACTGTGGTCTTTCATACCATCTATGTGACAAACCCAGTGGCCAATCCAGAACCAGTGAACTCTCCACCGTCTTATTCTAGTGAGATTCAGGACTCCAAATAGTACAAAGGTTCTAGAAGCATCTTTCACTGGAACTAAAAGAAGAACTCTCCTTTCTGGGCTTCTGAAACTCAGCTTTTTTTCCCCCTGACAAACTAAGGAATGTGTCTCTCCAACTGTTGGCACCTTGGACTTCATTCACTTCAGCTTCGTTAATCATGCTGTTCCTCCATTTAAAAGGAGACAGGACTTTAAAGTGGATTTGAGCAAAGAGGTCTTTCCTAGGACATCCACCTGTGGGATGTCCAGTGCACGTATCCATGTGCTTATCTGTGTGAGCTTACAAGTTAGTGAAACAAATGTCTAGACAACCCAAGCTTCATTCTCCCAATCATTCACTCACTGAATAAAAGTGCACTGAGCATTTAATATGTTTAAAACTCTATTAACGGCAGGACTAGGTTGAACATGGTGAACTTGCAGTCTTTGACTTCAAGGAACTTCTGCCTCACAAGAGAAGAAGAACATGCAAGCAGATTTCTATAACACATGATAGAATTTAGGGGTGTGTAGAGAGAGATCAGAGATGAAAATGATTTATTCTGGCAGTGATGGGGGAAGCAGAGAACAAGCATTGTTGAAGAAGATGCATTTGTTGGGGTATCAAAGGAGAGAGAATTGTTTTTGGGGTGTTTTTTAATCTTTATTGTTGAAAGTATTGCATATGTTCCTCTTTTTCTCCCATTAACCTCCTCCAGCCCACTTCTGTCCCCCACCCCAGGCTCTCACCACCCCATTGTCTGTGTCCACGGGTTATATGCATACAAGGTCAGGGTTGATCTCTTACCACCCACTCTCCTCTGCCTTCCCTCTAAGGTTCAACATGCTTCTATGACTGGGTCTAATTTTGTTCATCAGTTTTATTTGGATCATTAGATTTCACATATGAGTGATATCAGGTGATACCTACGTTTCTGTGACTGGCTTACTTTGCTTAGCATAATACTCTCCTGGTCCATCGAGGCTGTTACAAGTGGTAAGATTTATTTCTCTTTTATTGCCACATTAGAGACCTACAGGGGGTGGGGGGAGGAGGGGCGTGACCCTCAGCCCGGCCTGCACTCTCTCCAATCTGGGACACCTCGGGGGATGTCCAACTGCCGGTTTAGGCCTGATCCCTGTCGGACATCCCTGTCACAATCTGGGACTGCTGGCTCCTAATTGCTTGCCTGCCTGCCTACCTGATTGCCCCTAACTGCTTCTTCCTGCCAGCCTGATCACCCCTAACCATTCCCCTGCCAGCCTGATTGATGCCCAACTGCTCCCCTGCCTGCCTGATCACCCCCAACTGCCCTCCCCTGCCAGGGCTTGATGGCCCCCAACTGCCCTTCCCTGCTGGCCTGATTGCCCACAGCTGCCCTCCCCTGCTGCGACCTGCCTCCTCTGCCACGACCCGCCTCCTTTGCGTGAGGCAGCGGAGATGCCAGGACCAGCCTCCTCCATGCTGTGCAGAGCCGTGGGACCCCCAGGACTCATGACGTGGAGTGGCCACTGGGCCCTGACTCTGCTGTGCATGCAGCCATCTTGTGATGGCCATTTCGTGAGAGCCATCTTGTGACGACGTGAGGTCGTGATGCCACGTAGGCTATTATTAGTATAGATTGTATTCCATTGGGTAAAGTACCTGCTGGCGAGTACTTACTCCTTAATCCTGCTTGCTTCACCAATTGCTGGAGTAAGTTCTTCCTTGATTCTGCTTCACTATGCTAACTGTGGGGTCTCAGTTCCCCTGCCAGGAACTGGACCTTCATGGGTGCTGGGTATTAGAGAAGACAATATGAGCAATCATAGGCATATAAGAGAATCTTTATTGTAGACTAAGTAGCTGTTGCCAACAAGGCTGTCCACAAAGTAGTTCTTGCTAAAACAATAGTAAACACAAAGCGGCCCTTGCTAGTAGAGTAGTAAACACAGGAGCCATTGCTAACAAAGTAGCCTGACCAAGTAGCCACACAAGGCAGCCCTTGTAGACAAGTAGGCCCATACATAAAAGTAGCCTTAGTAACATAGGAGCTATCATACAAAGTAGTCTGACCAGGCAGCCTCTCACTGGCTGGTCAGTAATATACTTTATACTAACTTAGATAAAAGTGGCTTCTTGCCAAATAGTGACCTCAACACTTGGGCTATGCAGGCATGTCTGCAAAGTGTACACAGAAAGATTGCTGTGTCCTTGCGCAGATTGGCTTTGAACATCCTGATTAGGGTTCCCACGCTCAGATTGGCCTTGAACATCCAGCGTACTCTGAACAGGGTTCCCACAGTACCACAGTTTTGAGAGTGTGGTTTCTAAGTTGTTTTTAGTGCAATAAACTACAATTTTGAGAAGACCTTTGGAGAGAGTTCATCCTCTAAAATTATTAGGCTTTTTAAATGCTGTTGCCACCGATGCAATAGTGTTCAAGAACTAACATTGTCTTAAGATATCTTCCAAAGTTATGAGGCTATATCTTTTATTTACCAAAGGATAGGAACTAATTTAAAGAGAAATAGCTATGTCTATAACTTCTAGATTTGTACACCTTCAATTTAAATATTGTTACCCATGATGGCCAATTGGTTCCCTAAAGGTTATATGCCAGCTGATTATAGAAATAATCTCTAAATTCCAGGTGCCATCCAGTTTTCCTTTGTTGCACAGCCCGGCAATGACTTTCTCTTTTTATATTATTAAGTGCAGACATGTTTTTACTCTTGTAAATATTTTTAGGCTCTGACTTTACCTAAGAAGTTTCCTCTCAATGGCTTGATGTTCAGAGTTCTGTCTCTTTCTGCACCTGCATCTTCTCTGACTAGGGAGCCAATGGCTGCCCATCAGCCAGTCAGGAATGGCTGGGTTTTCTAGAACTGAGTGGGCTTTAGGAAATGACAGACATGACTAACCATGAATTGGAATTAGAATAAAATGTACTAAAAACCTGCTAAAGCAACTCACATACAGTGTCCATATAAGCATATTGCAGTTGCAGTTAGTTCCTGCCTGACTATAAGAATTTGGGCAAGTGACCACAGAAATGCTGCCTGAACGTCCTGTTCCCATTCCCGGAAGCCAGCAATGAAACTGCTGGTGCAGCAATGAAACTGAAACTGGACACAATGGGTCCGAGGCTGGGTGTCAGTACTTGAGCCAAATTAAGCAGAGGCAGGGTTGAATCATAAATGAGCATTTATTCCAGTAGTGCCGGTAGTATGGGGAGAGCAGTTGGTCACCCTGGGAATTCTGTTCTGACCCCCCTCACCAGTTGGCTGATATATACACAGAGGAGTGAGAAGATAGCTACGTGCAGCTATGAGCTGCAAGTATAACATGGAAAGGGGAGGGGAGGGTCTGCAGTCTGGCCTTCAGGAGCTCAAAGTTGAATAACCAGGTGGCTAATCTATGATGTTACAAACAGCTCAGTCCATTCCTGGGCCCCAAGAATGGTCAGTATTCAGAAAAATACTCCCTAACCGGTCAGGATTCGGGCACAGTAACCAAATAAAAGCATGTCCTGTCCTTGATCTGTTTTCAAAATTTATTTCTTTTCTAAGTAATGGACCCATCGAGGCATCTCATCTTTTTACAGCCTTGTTTCATACTCCAGTTTCCCAGAGTCTGTAAGAAAACTTCTTATTAAGTAAGTAAGGTGAATAATTATTAGAAAACTGTGGCTCTGTTCTTATTACATGCCTTCCCCACTATCAAAACTACATGATGGAGGGTTCCTGTTCCTCCCCTGAGGGATTTGTTATTCTGTCCTAGATGAAGCTGTATGCAGTAACCCTGAGTGCCCAGTTGAAGCAAAACCCTTTCTTCTCCACACAGATACCATTAAACACTTATCTAATTGAACAGCATTTGATTGGTTTCTTGTCAATTACAGGAAGTATATGTGGGTGGGGAAGCTGAGCTCTAGGCAGCTCTAACCTGCCCTGCGCCTAGAAGAAGGACTTTGTTTCGGATATTTCTAAATATATTTTGTAACTGAACCTGGTGCCTTTGTTCTTTCGGGGAAAAAACAAGTTGCCTACAACAAGCCCTGGGGAAGAGAAGCAAGGGAGACTTAGCCACTGGCAGAACAAAGTGAGTATACTTAATCTAAGGAATTCTATGGATAGCTCAGGCATGCTGATAAGGTTTTTCTGCCAAATGATAACTGTGGGTGTGAGGATGAGCCCAAGGCAGGGTTTATTGTACTAGCTTTTGAGGATGTGATCCAAAAAAAGAGGAAGGAAAAGAATTCAGTCAGGTTAGACACTTTGATTTCAGCCTTGTCAAAGCCTGATCAGGGACCCCAGCCATGCCAGACTTCTGACCTTCACAGACATGAGCTAATAAGTGAATTCTTTTTGAAGCTGCTAAATTTGTAATTCCTAATACAAAGTGCTATCCTTTAAGAAAAATTATAAAGACTTTTCAGCTAGAGGTGCTAAATTCTTGAGTATTTCTAAGGATGTACCATCTTGTCTTCAAATGTATTTGTTATGCTACCTTTATGGAATTCTATGAATTATCACCTTTACCTAAGGTTTATTTAAAAGTTGCTTCCTGGTATGTTATTATAATTCACTTTAATTTTTTCTCTTCATTTCCTACATGAAACAAGCATTCTGAATTCAAATGAATGCACAGTGGAATAAGCAAAATAAATTTAACTTACTTTGTGTCTCAAAAGAAAGAAAGAAAGAAAGAAAGAAAGAAAGAGAGAGAGAAACAGAGAAACAGAGAAAGAAAGAGGAAAGAAAGAAACTTTAAAAACAAAACCAGAATTCACAAGTGACCTAGAACATAGAGCAGCATGAAACCCCCAGTGAATATAATCAGTTCTGGAAATGGGCTTCCTTGAAGGATAAAGATCTCTATTTAATGAATATTTATATGACTGGGAATTTGTTTCCATGCTCCCAGCCTCAGTTTCCCTTTTCAGAAATTAAGAGAATTAGACACACTGTCCTCCAGGAGACTCTCCAGCACCGCAATGTTGAAGTACCACTTTGTGCAAAGTACCCTGCTAAGCACAATGGGGGATACTAAAGTGAAAAGGACACAGCCCTGCCCTCCGTAGTTCTTAGCCACTTTGGGGCTTATTTTTCTCACCTGGAAAACTGGCCAGGTGAGAGGAATCTAGGAGATGTATTTGTAAAGCAGTAACTGCATACGTGCCTTCTAACTGCTACCAATAAACTCATGGGGGGTTTAGATGCTCAAAGGAGTTAATGAAAACACAAGTCCTGTTTCAATGGAAACATTAGTGCACATGTGAGGGTTGACTCTACTGCATTTACACCTTAACAGCATGAATCTGATGACTTCAGCAGGGCCCACGGCCAATTCTGTTTTTGTGATAGCATCCCACCACGGGTATCCTGTGATCTCCGGAGGCATGTCTCAGGTGCCCCTGTATCGACTCAACCAATCCCAAGTCCACCAAATTCCTGGAAACCAACCTGGTTTGGAGCCGCCTGTGTCTATGCAACCTGCCCAGAGATCCTTAAAAGAGGGCAAAGTTTTAGGGGTAAGTGAGATTTCACACTGTGTGCATGGGCCACATGGCTGGAGTCAGGGGTGGGAGGAGGTTTGGAAATATAGAAACTCCAAAGTCAGCAAGTGGGGATGCAGCTGACCCAGCCTTGCCAAACTCAGGTCTATTAAAAGCTCAGCTCTACAGCATCACCAGGGCCTCTGTGTAGGGCCTTGTATTATCTATCTTGGGCATTTTAGTAAGGAGAAAGAAAAGCAACAAAGAAGCAGTAAATTGGAATGTTGGTCCTGTTGCCAGAATCCATGTTGACCCATGTGGCCTCTGGAAGAAGGTGGGTCCAGAGAGCCAAAAGGTAGATTCTAAATCAAATGTGCTGGGTGGGACAAGGGAAAGCCCATTTCATTGCTTGGGTGAATGAAGACACGCTTGGATTTTCTTTGTTGTTAATCCTCACCTGAGGATATTTCTCCATTGATTTTTTAGAGAGAAGGAAAGAGAGAAAGAAAGAGAGAAACATCAATGTGAGAGAAACACATTGATTTGTTGCCTCCTGAATGCGCCCAGATCAGGGCCTGGTCCTGGGCTGGGGAGGAGCCTGCAACCAAGCTACGTGCCCTTGACCAGAATGGAACCTGGGACCCTTTGGTCCACAGGCCAATGCTCTATCCACTGAGCCATACCAGCTAGGGCAAGACATGCATGAATTCTGATTCAGGCTGCCTGAGTTCAAATCCTAGCTTCACCCCCATATACAACTCATAGTAATGTCAATGGATACAACCTGTATGGAGGGCTTTCTGTGTCTGCCAAATTTTAAAGTACACAATAATTAAATTTCTGAGACTTGTCCTTCAGAGATGCCTGTACACATAAGAAATATGACATGTATGAGGTTATTTATTGCAGCTAAGTTTGTTGTAGTGAAACTGGCACAAACGACCCTCAGGGTCTTTTGCCTGCTGCTGTGAAGCCAAATACAGGACATCATTGCTGAATGAAGGAAGGAAAGTGATTTATTTAGGTGCTGACTACCTGAGAAGATGGCAGGCTCATGCCTTAGCAACCATCTTAAAGTCTCAGGATAGACAAAAGGCTGTTATAGAGGGATTATGGAAAGAAGGGCATTAAGGCATTCTGATGACATTAGTTTCACATTTGAGTTCTCATGTGCATTTGATGATCTTTTTCATGTCTGTCAGCACCTGTTTTTTTTTCTCTCTCTCTTGCTGTGGGCTTTATTTAGGGGAACAGGATATTGCAGCCTGGCCAGCCATCGGCATGTATTACACATTTATGGTAGAGGCTAGTGAAAAGGGGAACTGGGACTGCTTCTGCCTATAACATGCTTAAATATGAAATTATTAATATTTTAGACTGTAAGTTTTATTAGTATATTCTTACTTTTAATCTTTGATTAATCAATTAGATGTGAGGTTTTTACCCTGTTACAATAGGAAAAGAATGGAAACAACCAAAGTATTCATCAATATAATACCAGTTAAATCTATATATTATATGTCTAAAGAATGAAATGTAATTGCGCTATACAAAGGAAGCTCTTTGCCCTGGCTTGTGTGACTCAGTTGTTTGACCATCATACCATGTATTCAGAGGTTGCCAGCTCTATTCCCAGCCAGGGCACATGCCCACTGGCAGACGCCATCCCCAGTAGGCGTTGTGCAGGAAGCAGCCAATCAATGTTTCTTTTTCATCAATGTTTCTCTCTCTCTCCCTCTTCCTTCCTCACTCAAATCAATGATAACATATTTTTAAATATAAAATATCTTTTTTAGATAAAAATAAAACTCCTTGGCTTTAATTATATGGACATACCTCCAAGTTATATCATTATTAAGAAAAATGATTGGGGGCAGACATTTTGTATAATTTGCTACCATTTGTGAAAATTTAATGAAATAATATACAGTATTTGTATTCTCTGTCATGTTTGTGCTATGTATACATATACAAATACATAATATATATATATATATATATGTATATATATATACACACACACACACACACACACAAATATATATATGTGTGTGTTTATGTATCATTTGGGCAAGAATATATATGTTTCCTAAAGCTGCCATGAAGTACTACCAATGGGGTGGCTTAGAACACAAGGAATTTAATGTCTCAGTTCAGAAGTTTGTAATTAGGGTATCCATGGGGCCATGCTCCCTCTAAAGGTTCTAGGGGTGGATCTGTTCCAGGCCAGTCTCCTAGCTTCCGGTAGGTCCTTGGCTGGTGGCAGCATAACTCCCATTTGGCATTCTCCTGTGTGCGCATGTTTCTCTTCACATGGCATTCCTTTAAAAAGATAGCAGTCATATTGGGACCACCCTATTATAGTATACCTCATATTACCTAACTACATCTACAGCAACCCTATTTGCAAATGAGATCCCATTCTGAGGCACTGGAGGTTTGAACTTCAAAATATTAATTTGAGCCCTGGTCAGAGTTGCTCAGTTGTTAGAATGACAGCCTGTGCACCAAAAGGTCACAGGTTTGATTACTAGTCAAGGGCACATACCTGGGTTGCAGGTTCAATACCCAGTCCCAGTCTGGTCATGTGTGGGAGCCAGCCAATTGATGTGTCTCTCACACATCAGTATTTCAGTGTCTCTCTCTCTCTCTCTCTCTCTTTCTCTCCCTGTCTCTCTCACTCTCTCTGCCACTCTCTCTCCCACAGTCCCTTCCGCTTTCTTTAAAAATCAATGCAAAAAATATCCTCATGTAAAGATTAACATATATATATATATATATATATATATATATACCATGTCCCAGTGCATGGATTTATGCACATTAAAGAAAATTAATTAGAAGGTGGCTGGTGAGGCGGGACTGGGCAAGAAGGGCTGGACACACCCTGGGGCCCACCTCCCGTGGTCCCTTCCCGGCTGGCCTCACCTGGGGCGGCGCTGTGGCTCGAAGGGCATCTGTGGAGTGAGCAGGATCCCTCCGGCAGGTGGGATCCCCCAGCCTGGCCTGTGGGGATTGGGCCGAAACTGGCTCTCCGATATCCACCAAGGCAGTGGTTCTCAACCTTCTGGCCCTTTAAATAGAGTTCCTCATGTTGTGACCCAACCATAAAATTATTTTCGTTGCTACTTCATAACTGTAATGTTGCTACTGTTATGAATGGTAATATAAATATCTGATATGCAGGATGGTCTTAGGCAACCCCTGTGAAAGGGTCGTTCGACCACCAAAGGGGTAGCGACCCACAGGTTGAGAACCAATGCCCTAAGGGGTTCCAGGTTGCGAGAAGGTGGTTTTCAGGTGACGCACCCCGGAATCAGGCTCCCTCCTCTATGGTTCCAGGGTGCATCACCCGAGAACTGCAGCTGCCAAGTCTCCACAGCTGGGCAGCTCCTGTGTTGAGCATCTGCCCTCTGGGGGTCAGTGAGCGTCATAGCTACCTGTTGGATGGTCAGACAGTTGCTTAGCCTTTTATATATATAGGTTAATTTGATGAGGAAGAGAAGACCCAATCAAATCTAAAGCAATATTCCAAATAAATAAAAGATGAGCAGAAAGAGTTATCTCCAAAATGATGTTCATTGCAGTGTTGTTTATAATATGGAAACATATTATACCTGCCCAATATATCTGGGAAATCCTTAAAAAAACATATATTCAGAGAATACTTAATACCTTGGGGACATATTCATCATGAAATATTAAGTTAAATATGCAGAGTCATTTTGTATTATCAGTGTATATATTTGAAAAAATAATCGAAGGCTATACATCAAAATATAAATATTTGTTTTCTTTGAGTGGGGTGAAATTATGGGAAGTATTGTTTCAATTGTACATTTTAAATAGGACTTTATTGACCAATAGAACAAAATATTTATTAAAATTAAAAGGAAGCACAAGGGAACAGGGTTAAGATCCAGCCTGAGAAACAAAGGTGTCAGCTTCTGGCTCCCCTGACAGGCCATCCAGATCCTGATCGGCCTGATACACATTGGCCTGGGCTTCATCCTGGGGACCATCCTGCCTGGGGGCTACACAGCTATCTCATTCTATGGAGGCTTTCCCTTCTGGGGAGGCATCTTGGTAAGTAATGTAAGTTGCCCTGCAAGTGAGTTCCAGAAAGTGCCAACATACTCAGTTCTACCTTAGCAAGTGGTATATTTGCTGCAGAAAATTTCCAGCCAATAGAGTACATGGGCAGCTTTCTAATTAGCCCACCTCAATAGAGCATGTGGGCTGTGAAACCAGCTCAGGACTTGTTCACCAAGAATATTAGTCCTCTTGGGAAGCCACAGACTGGGTGGCTAAACAATAGACATTTATTATCTCATAGTTCTGGATGCTGGAAGTCCAAGATCAAGGTGTGGGAAGGGTTGTTTCTCCCGAGGCCTTTATCCTTGGCATGTAGATGGTCATCTTCCTCCTTGTGTCTTCACCTGGTTTACCCTTTGTGTGTGTCTGTGTCCTCATATCTCATCAAGAACATCAGTCATATTGGATTAGGGCCCACCCATATAACCTCATTTAACTTTAATCACTTCTTTAAAGGCACTATCTTCAAATTTAGATCCTCTTCAACTTATGATGGAGTTACATTTCAATAACCCATTGTAAAATTGAAAATATCCTGAGTCTTCCCTAGCTGGTTTGGCTCAGTGGATAGAGTGTCGGCCTACTGACTGAAAGGTCTCGGGTTTGATTCTGGTCAAGGGCATGTGCCTGGGTTGAGGGCTCGATTCCCAAGGTGGGGCACACAGGAGGCAGCCAATCAATGATTCTCTCTCATCATTGATGTTTCTGTCTCTCTCTACCTCTCCTTTCCTCTCTATAATCAGTAAAAAAAAATATTTTTTAAGAAAAGTGCATTAAATACTACACTACAAAGAATGGGTGGTTTACCATCATGATCTCATGGCTGACAGGGAGCTCAGGCTGGCTGCTTCTGTCCAGCATCACCAGAGAGTATCTTACCACATACTGCTCACCTCAATCCAAAGTACAGTTTGTATTGAATGCATGTGGCTTTCACACCAATGTAAAGTCAAAAAAATCAGAAGCCCAACTATAGTGAGTCTGGAAACAACTGTACAGCCACATTTGGAGGTCCGAGGAGTTTGGACTTCAAAAGATGCATTATGAGGAGATAAAATTCAGGTAGTAACAAGTGACAGCCCTGCAAGGTGCCATTGCCCCAGAGTGGGAAGCTTTCTAATTAGCCCACCTCAGAGGTAAGGAAACCTTTTCCTAGTTCATCAGCCCAGTGCACACATGTTGTTTAAATCAGGCCCACAGCTGGAGCTCCAGGAGAAGAACATTTCCACCAGGGGTTAAGAGTGGCTGTCCAGTCACAGAACAGTCATGAAGCAGTAGGGACTCAATCTGGGGTTCACTGATGGGCTCAGAGTCCGCCTTTTTGCAAAATATTTGTTATATTAGATGTTTTTGTTTGCTTGTTTTTTCTGGAAAAGCCCACCATTTTTATCACATTCTCAGGGTGACCTAGAACCCCTTAAAAGGTTAAGAACAACAGGTCCTTTCTCTTCTCCAATATATTGCCTTCATGATTCTTTTCCATTTTCCTTAGTGTCTTCCCTACTATACACACACACACACACACACACACACACACACACACACGCAATCCAATCCCTTTCTCACCAACCATCTCCTTTTCTCCCTGCTATAACAGTTTTTCTCTCAACTCACATATCTATAACCCAAGGCAACTTTTCTCACAAATGGCAAAACTACAGAGTAACCTGGACATCAGCCAAGTCACCATATACCATGAGATTTAAATAAAATAGCCTATAGTTGTCCACCACCCTCACACACACACACAGCATCTGCAAAATGGTAGGATTTAGATTCTTGGGAGTATTTTTGTCTGAGCACCTGCTCTCTCTTGATCCCATTTGTGTCTCATCTTCTGAGGCTTAGGTACTCTCACTGCTTTGCACAGACCCAAATTTGGAACTCAGCCAACCACAGACACCTGTGTGTATACCAGACTGCTGTGGAGTTGGGGAAATGGAGAAGACTAACACCACAGCCACAAAACAGTTCCTACTGAGTATTAGATTCTCTTAAGGCCTTTCAAAGGCCTTAGTGGCCATCTCCCCTTCCACCAGGCTGCTCAGGTCTCATCAGCCCTCATGACACCATCCTCCCTTTTTCCTGCAGGACATTTAGGCTCTTTGTTGCCTTTTCACTCCAGGACTATCTATTTCCTAAAGATCATATGGACCTCCTTGAAACCAAAGGCCCTGTCCTTAGGTACCTCAAAAGGACCAGCAGTTTACATAGGGCTGAGTAAAGCATTTATTAAGCCATACCTGATGCCCTCGCTGACCCTCACTAACAGCAGGGAATCCCATTAGCCACTATGCTTGCAGAACACCAATGTTGAAATAAATGCACTCAATCTACCTGTTACACTCATAGTTGTTCCGCACCGTAGAGATGCAACATTCTTCTGAGTAACTAAAAGGTACTCACCAAATTGTAGATGGGCAAGGACTGACCTTGGGCTTGTATCTCAAAGCAGTGAAAATGCAAGAACCCCTTCCTTCTTCCCTCCAGAGCCCCCGTGCCTGAGTATTGGTATTCACAATGAAAACTTACTCTAGCCACCTGTACCTTCTAAGACGAATGCCTTTTTTCTTTTGGGAGGCCAACAAGATATGCATGTGGGAAAATAAAAGGCAATAAAAGAAGTAATTGTATTGAGTATCTACTATGTACAGCAAGCATATCAAACTCAAAGTCTAACACAGGCCAAATAAACAAGGTTTAAGTTCATGTGGGTCGCAAAAAAACAAAAGCTTCAATTTTCATAGAAATGTAGGTTTATTTCAATAGAGGCATGCTGAATACAAAGGGCTGAAATAAATGAGTAATAATTAACATAAAATAATAGAACATTTTAATAAAAATTAATATTTTTTCTTAAACATTAACTTACCAGAAACTGAATAACTACACAAATTAATAAATGTAATGCAAATAAACCTATTTTCTTGTTCTCCAAAAGTGAAGTATTTCCTGTTGTGCACACCAAACAAATCAGTCCAAGACTAATGACATGGCAATTGGCTGCTAAAATATTCGCTGCTAGTATTAGTGGAGAGAAATGGTCAGCCTGCGCATAAGGCAAGTAAGGGGAATGAATGCAACACGATTATGGTAATCAGTCATTATCGAACATTGTACTTTGTTATTGATAATTATGTATAACAGGATATTATAAAAATTAAGTGACAAAATTTTTATTAAAATGATTCTTACATACCATTATATTGGCTGGGCTGCAAAAATATTTGTTGTGGGCCTAATGCAGCCCGCAGGCCATGAGTTTGACATGCTTGATGTACCGGATCTACTATGTACAGGATCTAAATGTTAGATGCAAGTGACAAATTATCCTAATGTATAAAGAACCAGGGTCTGTCATGACCTAAACGTCGGGATGGACAACCGAACACCAGGCTAGGGTCCTGGCTGGCGTGGTGGGAGTCAGTCCTGGGTCCTGGTGGCCTGTGGCATGGCGGTGGGAGGGAGCTGTGGGAATGGAGCCATGCTGTCATCGGACTGGCCTCTGGGTCCCTCCTGCTGCCTGTAGGCTTTGGGGAACCAGAGCCATGCTGCAATCTGGGAATCTTGGTCCCTCCCCACCCCGGCCCGCAGGCCCTGGAAATAAGAGCCATGCTGTGATGGGACTGGACCCTACCTGAGGGGTCCCAGATTGTGAGAGCGTGCAGGCTGGGCTGAGAGATCCCCCCGAGTGCACGAATTTTCATGCACCCGGCCTCTAGTCTCATGATAATAACACTTAGGAAGATATATAGTTTTTCCCATTTTTTGAAGAGGAAATATATACTAAGAAAAATTAATAACTTACCCAAGATCACATGAGTTTCAAGTTAGAGTTTAAAACCAGGTATACTGGATTCTAAAAGACATATTATCCCAATTCACTGCCCTGTCTAGTGATGCAAAATAGCTCTTCCTCCCTTCTTTCCTTCCTTTTTTCCTTCCTTCCTTCCTTCCTTTCTTCCTACTTTCCTTCCTTCCTTCCTTCCTTCCTTCCTTCCTTCCTTCCTTTATTAATTAATTAATTTATTTTCCACAAGTTGAGTGGGAGGTCCCAGTAGAGGATCCTAGCATGTATGAGAGAATATGTGTGAGACCAAAAGCATGGAAGCCTGGAGGTGGGGCCCTGACCTCTGACCACTTTCTAAACTCCCTCTCTTCTGTGCCAGTTCATCATTTCAGGATCCCTCTCAGTGGCATCAGAACAGCAACCAAGATCTTCTTGCCTGGTAAGTCATATCCTGAGACAGGCTCTCTGAACCATGGACTCTTAGGAGAGCCACACAGCAGGGGAAAGAAGCTCACACACAATGTCTCCTTCATCCTTGCACCTGCTTATAACCAGACACAGGGCACTGACATGTATGCTCATTCATACTCACTTACAAGACCACATGAACCTGGACAGAATCACAAATGGGAAAGAGTCCAGAAGATTCTGTGGAAGGAAGGGCAGCTTCAGGGTGTGGAGAGACAGAGAGAATAACTTTCCTAAGAGGATCTTACAAGAGGAGGCAAAAAAGCTACCTGGGGTGCAGGGCTCCCCTCCAGCAGAGCAGGCATTGACTGTCTTCAACACACGGAGCCCAGTGCCAACATTTCTACAGGGAAGCCAGGGGAGGCTCAGGCAAAGGAATCCTTCCAAACAAGTTCTGTGAATTAACATGGGCAAGGCTTTGTGGTCCTCAAGCACTGGACCAAGTAAGTACCTTTGTTTCTCTTATGAGCAGGTTATGTGGCTCAAGGAGCCCCAAACTGAACCAGTCCCAAACCAGATGAGATCTATTTTAAAATCTCCACAGGGAAGATCAATTCTGGGCATGTCTCTCTGCACATGGGCCAGAATCATGGAGCATCAGAACCTGTCACATCCTAAAACAGTTGAGCTAAATCTTCAGGCCATTTCCTGTGAGATAAATGAGTCAAGTGTTTCCTAAACATTATTCATGGGATACTTATCCCAAGAGATACTTCATGAAGATGGTTAGATAAACTTGGGAGGGATTTCTATTTAGTAGTCTCCTCGCTAGGTGATCCTTAATCCTTTTTAAAGACTCTGAGAAGTCCTGCACAAAAGACCTATTTAACTTTGTTCAACCCAGGTGTTTTCAAAGTTAATTTTCCATCAAATCGATTTTGCACAATATATCTCTTTACTTGCCTCACATCTAGGGTTCTATGAATTCACATTATGAAGCACTTGTTGAGTCTCTGCTCATCTCAGCTGCAATTGTTTTCCTCTCTCATACTGTCCCTCTGTGTCTTCTTCAGCTGAAAGGTAGCATGGGCCTGAGTATCACCAGTGCAATCTGCTCTGTGTTTGGAATCATGCTCTTCATTGCAGATATGGTTTTCAACTCCCTAAATGTCCACAGCAGCTCCCATCCTTACAGTGACATAGTAAGTATACCTCTTGGCCAATGCTCCTTTGGGCTTCACCTGAGCTATCTTTAGGAAATCATTGGAAAACCCCACCAAGCTTCTTCACCAAACACCAAAGAAAACAGAGGTGTTCTCAGAATCACAACAGTTTCAAGTCCCTTACCTGTAGCTTCATTGCTGTTACTCTAAGCATGTGACTTTTCTTAGTATCACTTTCCATGTTTATAAAATATTACCTACCTTTTGATATTGTTCAGAAAATTAGATGAAGTTATACAGATAATGCACTGGTACCCACCAACCTGTACATTTACTCACGTGCTCACCTTCCTGCCCATCTTCATGGACAAAGAGGTCATCAAAGGTGTTCGGAAAAGGAGCAGATAGTGAACATTTAGGTTTTGCAGGCCATCTGGTCTCTATTGCAAGTACTCAACCCATCATGAAAGCAACCATAGAAATGTATAAATGAATGCGCCATCCCATACCAGTGCTATAAAGTAGAAATGTAACGTAATCCTCGAATGTGACTTTACATTTTCTAGTCTCTGTATTAGAAAGTGAAAAAATAACAGGTGAAATTAATCTTAATAATACATTTATTTGACCCAATAAATCCAAAATGTCATTTTAATATGTACTAAAAACTATCAATTCAATATTTTGTGTTTTGGGGGCCACATCTTTGAAATCCAGTGTGCATTTTACATTTACAATACATCTCAAGTCCTCGGGAGCCACTTGGCTACTAGATGGGAAATTGCAGCTATAGATGAGTCTTCATGTAAAACCAATGTCTCTGCACAGCAGCCCTGTCCTCTCTGTCCATCCAAGGTTATTACTCCATGTGTTTCTCTCTTCTCCCTGATCCCCACTTCCCTTCTACATCATTGTGTGCTGTTTGCTACAGCTTTTCCATCAGCATCTGAATACACTTTTGTTTTCTTTCATCCTAAAAAACAAACCAACCTTCTCTCAGTTACTTTAGCTATCATCCCATTTCTCTTTCCCTCTCTGCAGTAAAGTCCTTAAAACAATTATCTACCTCACAGTCTCCAATTCTCTCCTCTCATAATCTCTTAAACCCACTATAGGCATACTTTCAGCCTCACTTCTCCAAAAGCCTCCTCTGCTCAAAGTCCCCAATCATTCTTCCTCTTTGGTGGACTTCCCAGTGGCTTCCAGGCCCTGATGCTGTTGTTCCTGCACCCATACTGGTTGCTCTCTTCTCTGTCCCTTTTGCTGGTTCTTATTCTTTCCCCAATTTCTCACGCTCAGTCCTCAATCTTCTTCTGTTTCTCTCTCTACTCCCTGCCTTGGCAGTGTCATCCAGTCTGGTGACTTGAAACACTTTCTCTATGACAATGACTTCAAATGCATAGGTTCCCGTAAAACATCTCTCACAAACTTCAGTCTCTTATCCACTCACCATCTTGAAATTAACCTATCCAAAGCTAATCTCCAGATTTTACTTCCCAAACCTTCTCTCAGGTTGCCTTTTCCAGGTTGATGGACAAAAACCTGGTGGAATCATTGACCCAATCTCTGTTTCCTATATCTCCCAGGAAACTCTTCAGGGGATCCTGCTGGTTTCACCTTTCAGCATCCAGAATCCAGTCATTTTCACCAGTTTCTCATCATCAAACTGGCTAGAGCCACCACCACCTGACTTCTAATCTCAGTTCTGCCAATTTCTGATAGGAACTCTTCCATTCTGGCCACCCCCACACTTTTGGCCTCACTCCAGAAGAAGGAGGGCTGGACTTCAACACAGCTTAGCAAAAGATGACCCAAGGGACAGGGTGCTCTAAGATCTCAACAAGCATTAATAATACTCTCCAAATAATAACTAAGCTGCTTGAGGAACCCTTCTTCCTCGTGGGAGGGTATTTTTTATTTTATTTTTCAATTACCGTTGATATACAATACTATATTAGTTTCAAGTACACAGCATAAGGATTAGACAGATATAACTTATGAGGTGACTACATACTCTATACTGTACTTTAATTTACCTCCCTGTGACTATTTTTATAACTCCCTATTTGTACTTATTAATAACCTTCACCATTTTCACCCATCCCCCCCCAGCCCTCCTCCTATTAGAAGCTTTCTTTATAAAACTGTTTTTGTTTAAAAAACAGATTTGAAAAGGACCAGCATCATTTGTAAAGGCTCCTCCTCCCCATGCTTCTGTGATTCCTTGACTAAAGCATCACCATCCTGCCCTTCCCTTTGCCTAGACACCAACCCCACATCATTGAATCTTCTACTGAGAATGAATCTGTGTCTCCTCCTGCCCTATTTTGGCTCTTTTATAGCTCTTACTAAGTCTGATTTAAATTATGACTACCTCCATCTGTATCTGTCTCCCTCACCAGATTGTGCCTCTAGGGATGCTTTCTCAGTCTTTCGTAGCAAACAGATGTTTAATAAGTGCTTGATAAATTGAGAGGGAAGAGAAGGAAAGTGCTAAGGAGGGGTCTCTCCATGAGGGAGGATTCTCTGAGCAGGCAGCTATCACCAATGCCATTGTAAAAATCATAATTGACAAACATTTGTTTGGTGCCTACTGTGTGCCATACACTTTCACTTTCATATATATTTTTTTAATATATATTTTATTGATTTTTTCACAGAGAGGAAGGGAGAGGGATAGAGAGTTAGAAACATTGATGAGAGAGAAACATCAATCAGCTGCCTCCTGCACACTCCCCACTGGAGATGTGCCCGCAACCAAGGTACATGCCCTTGACCGGAATTGAACCTGGGACCCCTTGGTCCGCAGGCCGATGCTCTATCCACTGAACCAAACCAGTTAGGGCTCACTTTCATATTTATTCTCTCCTGTAGTTGGAATCCAAATGGTTATTGAGGTCATTCATCTCTTTTCCTTTCTTGATTAAGGTGGATTCTACCTAAACTCACCCCTGATACAGTGGGAGATCCCATTTTCCTGAGCATTGTTGGAGAACAGCAAAGGAAGGGCTTAGATGTCTCCTGGTGCTCACCTGAAATTGACTACTGCTGAATTAGTTCCATTTAAGGATCCTTTTACTGACTGTTTACCCAAGTTAAAGACAGTCCCAATTGCTTCTCTCCTCAAAATGCCACAGTCACAAGCCAGGAAGATTGTTTTAGTAACTGACTTTCTCTAAACGTTTGGAGGAATGGTGGAGGTAACTACTGATGCCTGGAGGTTAGACATCCCTGCTTTGTAATGTGTTAATTTCTCATAAGATACCTTTCTTTGCAGATTCCACTTTCCCTTCATGTTTCTAAGTCCTGTCTTTCTCCTCTATTCATCTTTCTTTGCTCTTTCTGAGGACTGCCCATATTCCCAAATTTCTATTCACTTCCTACCCGGAACAGTTTCACGCTTTTACTACTTACTCCAGACCCCATCCTTAGTTCTTGTGCCCTGTACCTGAAACAAATCATTAACGCGTTTCCCTAAACAATGATTATTCTTTTCCTTAGAACAACACAGGTAGTAAGTGTTAAAATAACTCTTTTACAAACACACTTGACCCTCACAAAACCTGGTGAGATCATTTCTCCATGAGGGTGAGAGGAGGTTAGAGGTCTTCCTTAAAGCCCTAACCATGGTCCATTGCAGAGCCATGCTTTGAGCCAGACCTCACACTCCCGGGCAGCCCTCATGATGTCCGTGTTCCTCCTGGTTTCAGGCCTCTGGAGTAGCTACTTCTGCCATGCTGTTCCTCTTTATCCTCCTGGAGTTCTGCATTGCCTGCATGTCTGCCCACTTTGGCTGCAAACTGGTCCGCTATTCACATAACACGGTGAGTTTTTAGGATCCTCAGTGGGTGGAAAGATGCCCCAAAGAGTATGAGAACTAATGAGGTCGTCTGGCTACCCCTTCCCACGCAGGTGCACAGGGAATCCCAGAATGTCTAAAGGCCTTTGTGCATACATAGTTTGCACTAATGCACCTCCTGTGCCTGTCTTTTTCAGGGTACTGTGGTCTTCCAAACTGTCTACGTGACAAACCCAGTGGCTAATGCAGAACCAGTGAACTCACCACCGTCTTATTCCAGTGAGGTCCAGGACTCCAAATAAGCCAAAGGTTCTAGAAGCGTCGTTCCCTGGAACCAAAATAGAACTCCCTTTCTGGGCTTCTGAAACTCACCTTCTTCCTTCCCTGACAAACTAAGGAATGTGTCTCTCCAGCTGTTGGCACCTTGGACTTCATTCACTTCAGCTTGGTTAATCATGCTGTTCCTCCATTTAAAAGGAGACAGGACTTTAAAGTGGATTTGAGCAAAGAGGTCCTCCCTAGGACATCCACCTGTGGGAAGTCCAGTGCACATATTCATGTGCTTACCTGTGTGAGCTTATGAGCTAGTGAAACAAATGTCTAGACAACCCCAGCTTCATTCTCCCAATCATTCACTCACTGAATAAAAGTGCACTGAGCATTTGATATGTTCACAACTCTATTCATGGCAGGAAGAGGGTGAACATGGAACATGCAAAGTCTTTGACTTCAAGGAACTTCGGCTTCACAAGAGAAGAATATGCAAGCAGTTTTCTTTAACATTAAAGGCAGAATGTGGGGATAGTACAGAGAGATCAGAGAGGGAAATGATTTATTCTGGCAGTGAAGGGGGAAGCAGAAAACAAGCCTGGTTGAGGAGGCAGCATTTGTTGGAACATTAAAGGAGGTAGTGTGGTTTTTATATTGTTGTTTTTTAGTGCAATAACAAACCACAATTTTGAGAAGAACTTTGGAGAGAGTCATCCACTAAAATTATTAGGTTTTTTTTATATGCTGTTAGCACCAGTGCAATGTTACTCAAGAATAAACATTGTCTTAAGATATCTTCCAAAGTTATGAGGCTATTGTATCTTCATTAAATAAAGGATAGTGACTCACTTAAAGAGAAATGGTTATATCTTTAACTTCTAAATTTGCACACTTTCATTTACATATTGTTATCCATGATGGCCAACTGGCTCCCTAAATGTTATGTGCAAATAATAGAAATAATCTCTCAATTCCAGGTGCCATCATATTTTCCTTTGCTACATAGCATGGCAATGACTTGTTATTTTATTACTAAATACAAACTTATTTTACTAAAAAGTATTTTTAGTCTCTGACTTTACCTAAGAAGTTTCCTCTAAATAGCTTGCTGTTCATAGCTCTGTCTTTTTCTGCACCTACATCTTTTCTGATTAGAGAGCCGTAGGCTGCCCATCATCTAGTCAGGAATGGCTGAGGTTCCAAGGCCTCCAGTGCATTTTCTAGAACTTAACAGGCCTTAGGAAATGACAGTCAACAAAAATGACAGATGGAGCAAGTAATAAGCTGATTTAGACCAGCCCTCCACCTATCTGTTTTGTAAGCTGAGCCCAATATTAGTACACTGAGCTCCCCATAAGGGGTTGGCTTATTTGGACCATTCATGGAAGGCTGGATTGTCAGAGTAAGTCTGGCCCTTCTCCTATTGTTGCCTCTCACTGCCCCATCCAATTTGACATCTTCTCTCTCCACAGATCTCCAATCCTCCATGTTGATCTTACACCCTTTTCTTAGAGCCTCCTTCCTGACTTACTGACCTCTGAGTTAACATAGACACTCCAGATGTGTCTTACCTCCTACATGTGCATCATCTCAGAGAAAGCATCTTCTAACACCTGGTGCTTCTCCAGAGAGGGATACCTCCCACCTGCGCTGCTGAAATCACCATGGAGCTAGTTGGAAAAGGGCCCCTTTCTTATCCTACTACCTACTCTATTAGTTCTGTGTACTAGGCCCTTATCCCCAAAGGCTCCTTCATCAACTTGAGGTGATAGCTCACTGCCTCCACCCAGTAGGCAATAAAATTGTGTGCTTGTTCTGCATCATCCCACAAGTCATTACTCTGCACACCTCCCTTTACTCCAATTCTCTTTAAAACAATGACACATAAGAGCTAGAAGAGACCTTGGAGTTCTCTGGATAAATGCAAACCCCGAGGTAGAGCGGGCAGAAATATTCCCAGTGTTATCAAGCCAGCTAGGAGCACAGGCAAGACGAAAACTCCAGGAGGCCAGTCCAGGGCTCCTTGAAGAAGCAGAGACGTGGTGGGAAAAGCAATGTGATTAAGGTCAGAAGACAGGTTTTTGTTTTGTTTTGTTTTGTGTTTTTTTCACCTTAGCAAACACTACTCTCAATCTTACTTTCTCCAACACCTTCATTCCTCATTCCAAAGACAATGTCATCAATGCCCCCCCATGTTGCCAAGCTCAATGGTTCTTTTTCTTTCCTTATCTTTCTTGACCTCTGAAGGATTTGACCCAACAATCCACTCTTAATTTGATTCTGCTCCAGTGTCTCCACATGCCCTCCTCATTCTTCTACAATAGCTCCTCTTTCTCCTCTTGTGCCTCAAGCTTTGCTCCCCAATATGGCACTTCCCTTGGTCCTCTTCTAATTTTATGTACTCATTTCTGGGGACTTGAGATTTAAATCTCACAATCTTACTTGAGTAAGATTGTGGGATTCAAATGTGCTAATCAGTGCACGAAAATACTGCAAAGTATTTATACCACTATCCAACTAGGCCTTGGTTCCCAGGACCCATCATCAACCAATTGGGATTTCTTATGAAAGAGGTTGTCCTATTCCTGCCTCATATGCTGCCACTCTTATTCACCAGTAGGAAGTCCTAGCCAAAGCAATCAGACAAGAAGAAAAAATAAAAGGTATTCAAATTGGATTAGAAGGAGTAAAACTGTCCTTACTTGAGATAACATAGTACTCTATTAGAGAACCCTAAGGAATCCAACAAAAAACTACTAGAACTGATAAATGAATTCAGTAAAGTAGCAGGATATAAAATAAATATACAGAAATCAGTTGTATTTTTATACACCAATAGTGAACTGACAGAAAGGGAAATGAAGAAAACATTCCCATTCATAATTGATTAAAAAAGAATAAAAACCTAGAAATAAATTTAACCAAGGATGTAAAAGTTCTCTACTCAAAATATTATAAGACACCAAAGAAATAAATTGAAGATCCAAATAAGTGGAAACACATATCATGTTCATGGATTGAAAGAATTAACATCATTAAAATGTCCATACTACCCAAAGCAATCTATAAATTCAATGCAATTCCTATAAAGACACCAATGTCTCACTGTACTAGAGGCTGGAAGTCCTAAATGAAGATACTGATGGGGTCATGCTCCCTCTAAAACCTATAGGAGAAGAAGCCTTCCTTTTGTCTTCCTAGCTTCTGTAAAGTTGCCCGCAATTTTTGGCATTTCTTGGCTAGTAGTTGTATCACTCCAGTCCTCCATCTTCATGTGATGTTTTTCCTACATGTCTCTACTCCATCTTCCCACTGTATATGTCCCTCTCTGTATCTAAATTTCCCCTTTATTAGGACACCAGTCACATTAGAATAAGGCCCACCTGTTGATCTAATTTTACCTCTGTAAAGACTCCATGTCCAAATAAGGTCATATTCTGAGGTACTAGGGAATAGGACTCTAATATATCGTTTTTAGGGGACCCAATTCTACCCATAATAGCACTCCGCAGAAAGCTCACAAGTGATTTTTTTGAACTTAGAATGTTGGGCATATCTTCTGCTTTCAAAGGTGGACTCTCGTCACCAATTCTTAGGAAATAGGAAACAGTGCATCAGGCCTCCTATAGCATCATGCTACAGATATAATGATCAGAGTTAATAAGGGATAAATAATAATAATTTATTAAGGGATTACCATAAGCTAAGCGCTGTTCTAAGTCCTTTAAATGTAATATTGTCATTTAATCCTTGCATCTACTCTGTGGGCTCAGGACTATTACTTCTGTTTTGTAGGTGAAATAAAAGCACAGGGAGAGCAATAATCTTGCTATTGCTACATTGGCATTATGCCTGCTTCCAAAGTCAGGGTATTTCCTTCTTTCAGATGGATCCCCTTCACTCAGGCCAATCTCCTCTCACTTGAAATAAAGTGGGCATTCACCTTGACCGTCCTGCGTTCCTCCAACTGACTGTATTTATCCATGTCAACTCAGAATAGCTTTGAAATAAAAGAGTCAATGTGTGGTCAAATTGCACTCTTTATTGAAGAAGTAGGAAAAAGGAGTACCAGAAAGGACTTCATTAGAATGCATTTCTCATGAGGTAGCTTGAAAAAAATTACAATTCTTCACTAATTCACAATTAATCTTTTGTTCTTGAATGGAGTCACACTGGTTCTTTGTAAATTATGAAGTGGTGGAGGTGTGGCATTCCGACAGTGAGAAACCTGGAGTGAGGTAAGTGATAGAAAATTGATCATTATTATACTCTAAAATAAGAGCCTTGACCTGAGCTTTTGAATCAAAACAAGATAAAGTAACAGCAACAAACAAACAAATAAACAAACATGTAAACTTAGAATGTGACCAGTTAAAACCATAATGAAAAGATCGCACCTACTCTGTCCTGGGGGAATCAAAGGCCCATCAAATCTATAGCCCATCAGAAACCAGCGGTTTTGATAGATTACAATAACCATATTAAATTAAAATATTGCTCTACATAAAATGACTTTACATTTTGCTGGACTCTAGTGAGTCCAAAATTCCTCTTGGGTTCTCTAACTTCATGTTCTAGGTCAGAAGGAGAAATATCTGAACAAACCATTGGAGTGGAGAGCTACCTGGCTCACATTTAAGATTTTGGGGTGTCATTGCAGAAGGTATTCTAATGGAAACAGTGTCATTTTCTTTTCCTGAGTAAAACTCTTGTGTTTTTTCTTTTCGTGTTTTGTTTTTAAGTTCATAGCTGAGCGTTAGCACAGACACACACACACAAAAAAACCTGAATGTGCATAGACATTTTGAAGAATTTTATAATTGAGTGAAATACAGATCAGTATTTAAACCTAAGCTCAATAGTTATTGCTATATGTATAGCAATATAGGGATTAGAAATAAAGGAGATGCAGTTTATGAAACTAATTTTAATGAAACTAAGACCTATGTTATCTAGCAACATCGAGGAAGGGAGAGAGATAGAGAGTTAGAAACATCGACCAGCTGCCTCCTGCACATCTCCCACTGGGGATGTGCCCGCAACCCAGGTACATGCCCTTTACCGGAATCGAACCCGGGACCCTTCAGTCCGCAGGCCGATTATCCCTATCTCTAGCCTTATTTTTTCTCCAATTCTATCTCTATTTTGCTGAATCATGGGGACAACATCGAGTGTGAAACTGATATATAAAACATCAATAAACTTCCTAAATATCTTTCAAATGTATCCTCTTCTCTTTATTTTTTGTTGTTCAAGTTTTAGGTACTCTACACTAGGCTGTCATGTGGCCTGTTGGGGCAAACACCTAATTATCCCTATCTCTAGCCTTATTTTTCTCCAATTCTATCTCTATTTTGCTGAATCATGGGGACACTATGATTGACTCTTTCAAAACT